AAAGAATTATTACTGTGACAAATGTGGGAAGGGTTTTCACACAAACTTTGCCCTGCTCATGCATGATAATCAGTCACACCGCATGGCCAAGTCATGGAAGTGTAAGCACTGTGGGAAGGCATTCACAAGGTGTGCTGCATTCAAGGAGCACATCAGAATCCACACAGGAGAAAAGCCCTTTGAATGTAATATTTGTGGTGTTAAGTTTAGGAAGATTCACCACCTGAAGACTCATGCCAAGCAGCATGAACCCAAGATGCGGGATGGGCCCTTCAAGTGTCACGAATGTCCCAATGCTGTTTTCCTTCACAAAATATCCTATGACAGACACAGAAAGTTTAAACATGGCCATGAAACCCTCATCACTGAAGGCAATGTTTTCCTCCCTCCAGAAATTGTTATCAAAGGAGAATACATAGTGCCAGAGAGTGAGGGTAGAGTCGGGACTGGCTATGTTCTTGAAGGTGGTATTGATGGAGTTGAGGGTATTGAAATGGTGGGACTGGATGAAGGAAGCCTAGGAACAGGCACTCAGGGAGGACAGTGCATCATTGTCCTCTCAGAAACAGCAAATGATGATGATGCAAACAGCCAGGCCTTCCTACAGCAAGTGGAGGTAGCTGAGGACATCAAGCCACAATTGATTTCGCAGGAGGAGGATGATGACGAAGAGGAGGAGGAAGATTCTGAAGTTCATGACTTTGATGAAGCTCAGCTGGCCAGCCTGCAGGAACACATTCAACTGAATGACCAGATGACAGCAGCACAGCTCCAGCAGCTGTCTGTAGCCACCCTTGAAGGGGGGAAGTTCCAAGTTCAGATGGATGGAGAGACATTTGATGTTTATACTGTCAATCCTACAGAATAGGCTGTTGACCCAAGGCATGCTGTTCTGTGAATAGTATGTGTAAATATGTAATTAGAAAGTTTAATAATTCAAATACAATGTATTTGCTAATTAAATGGTTGTATTGCCAGACAGAGGGTGTTGCTTCTTTTTTTTTTTTTTTTCTTTCGTCTTTAGGAAATATTCATTGTCTGGCTTGTCATTGGTAACTTGCAACATCCATTCTTTTTGTACAGGACTTCTGCAAAATTTTAATAGGTTAATTTGATTTGGTTTTGAAATTTCTGATAACAGTTCCATTTGTGGAAATGTATTCCTATGTTGGACAGTGTAAATGTTCTTTCCTAACATTTACAGGAGTTTTATTTTGGATTTGTTTGTGGTTTCATGTTTTTTTTTTTCCTCAAATTTTGGTGTATATATTGTAAATATAATACATATTTGTAAAGTGATTTGAATATAACATTTAAATATGCTTATTTTTCACAATAAAAGGAAGCAAAATAACATGTCTTATTAAACATATCCTTCAAATAGTTGTTTTGCGTTTCACTTGTCTTTTTATTCATAAGAATGATGAAATTATAATAAGTATATTATTAACAAGTCAGTAGTTTGTATTATTATGATAATCATGAATTACTGTACCATTCTTTTCATAAACATAATTCAAAGAGATCACCAAAGAAATAATTTGCAATCTTGCATCTCAATGATTTTTCACAATTGGGTAAACTGATAATGGCAGGCTGAATAAAAATTGAATTTGAAGATACTTAAACATTTTATCTCATATAGTGTTTTTTTTTATTAATTAGATTCTCCACATAAGCTATACAAGCAATATCAGAAAGGTTGTTAATTAGTTTATTAATATTTACCATTTACTTGTTTGCATGCATACGTGTGCGTGTATCTGTCTGTATGTATGTAGGTATGTTTGTCTTTGTCTTTCTGTGTATATGTCTGTGTATCTATGCAGAGAGAGAGTTGACACTTGATAGAAATAGATTTGAAATATAATACCATCATTAAAAAAGAAAAAAAAATCACAAAGAATTGGGAAAAAAATGCACTTGCTTGTTGGGGGAAAAAAAACTAGACACATTGCTTCCAAATTTCACAAAAAGGCACGTAGCTGAAAATATAAAAATATAAACACACATCCTGAAATAAAAAGTCCAGGAATGTACACAATCACACACATGCCAAATCATCCAGTTATATATATTTTTTCTAGGCCACAAATGAAGTATATTACTATTCATATTAGGGTGTAAGCCTTGCAAATGACCCTACTCATCAACCCTTTTAATCTCTCACTCACTTTTTATTTTTTTATGAACAGTGCCAAACTCCTTTCTGTAAAATAAGGTGTTCATATAATCACACTCATATACACAGTAGCACAAAATTCCTTTCCTTAATAATTAGACTTTTTTTTTAGAGAGCCAGAAATGCATATTAAATTGCAACTCTAATTATTTTTATTCATGCTTATGTGACACAGAGATAGAAAGAATCACAATATAGCTTCTGGAAACACTAATCTCAAAAGCGTTTCCCCAATAACACGATTCGTCTTGCAATATGGAAACCAAAGAGTATCAATAATTGTTTGTTTATGTTAGGTATATTGCACATAATCTCTTTGCGCATCTTTAAGCATATAATCTATATACACCGTCATCACTCATTTACTATGACGTTGAACATAAAAATCTTTTATGATTATTATTATTATTATTATTATTATTATTATTATTATTATTATTATTATAGTGAAGTCTTGCATTTAATGATATTTGGTACTCAAAAAAATCATCAAATGAAAAATTGCCAATTTTTATTAACTAACCAAATCCAGTTGATGCAATCTCCATTGAGATTTGGTTGTTTAGCAAATACTATATCAATTAAACGAGAGCAAATAAACAGTCTTTTAATTTTCAGCCTTATCTAAGGAGAACTAGATTGAGATTCTCTCTTAGATGGCTTACCTCTCAGTGGCTTCACCCATCCTTCACTAAGCTGCTATTAACATTATTATTATTACCATCGCTTCTGTTATTATTATTTCAATTATTATTGTTACTATTACTTTTTTCATTATTTTTTATCATTATATTCTTCTATTATTATTATTATTATTATTACTAGTGTCATTATCATTTAGCTCTATACTACTAGTATTATTACCATCAATTCACCCAACAGGTGAGTAGAAAGCACCCGCCCACCTCCCAGGAAGATGGAATACCCTGCGCCTACTGCCCGTTCCTAGCCCCCACACTACAGACCCTCCACGCCCACAAGACAGCAACACACCGAGACATGGACTGCCCTTACTGTGGCCGTCTCATTGCTACTTGGTGGGCTTACGAGAGGCACCTGACCAAGTTCCATCCGAATGAAGTACCAGAACATGTCAAGCAGGAGAGAGCAAACGTCGAGGTCGGTCTTTTGTTGAGATATTTTGTCGTTGTTGGTGAATCATTTTGCTCTTTAAGGACAAGCTTTTCTATATTTCTTATTTAAGAATTTGTAAGGTTGTCCATTTTTCTATATACAATTTTTTTTTTTTTTTTTTCCTGTCTTCCAGGCTGCTCTAAAATCACCTGTAGTTCCTGAGCCAAAGAAGAGAGGGAGAAAGAGGAAGATCCAGCAGTGTGAGACGTGCCATGAAGTTTTTAAATCACGACCTTCCCTGACATACCACATCGCGACAAAACACCAAAGGTCAGTTGAAGTGGAAACCGAAGGCAAGATGAGGTTCATTGAGGGGAGATTGCGTCTCTCTCTCTCTCTCTCTCTCTCTCTCTCTCTCTCTCTCTCTCTCTCTCTCTCTCTCTCTCTCTCTCTCTCTCTCTCTCTCTCTCTCTCTCTTTGCTTGTGTGTGTGTGTGTGTGTGTGTGTGTGTGTGTGTGTGTGTGTGTGTGTGTGTGTGTGTGTGTGTGTGTGTGTGTGCATGCGTGAGAGTGTGTGTATGCATGTGTGTGTATGTGTACATGCATGTGTGTGTGTGTGCATGTGTGTGTGTGACCAACACATCCTGCCTAATGAGTCTGCTGCTGCCCCTAAGTATAGAAATCCAGAGCAGGAAGTTGTGGGCCAGGAAGGCCAACAGCAATCTTCCAATGATACTTTGATTTGCTGGAAAGACCCTCATTATTACCTGCAGACAGACCTGAGGAATCCCTTTTGCTTTTTGAACCTACTGAGGATACAGAAGTTTCCCATGCTGCCAGGGAAAATGAATAAAAAATGGGGAAAATACTGTGGTCATATTTTATATGTTTGTGAAATGTCTCTGCACATAGATGGCTCTGCTAGTGCTTATCCACAATGGAGTTAATCAGTAGACTTTGTAACCTTACCTAATTTCACCATTCTTTGATTTGGCAGGAAAAACATATTTTTTTGTAATGCTATGAATACTAATGGTGTTATTTTTATTTTATTATAGAAATTATAATTACTATAATGTTATAAACATTTGTAACAGCAAAATAAGACAACATAAAATATTTTCGTAAATCATGGAAAAGGGTAAATGGGCAAGACAGGCAGTACTTGTAATTGGTTTATTGGTGACTTAGTATGAATGTAGTTGTATTCTAACTCTAGAATACAACAAACATGCTTTCCACAATATCCTCTAGACCTGGTTATATTTGCATTTCTCCACCATGATTATAAGTGCAGTTTCAGCACAGTATCTTTTCCTGGGCAAGATGGTGAAATGGTGTAGGACTGCAAGTGCATTGTTGGTCTCAATTAGATATTTTGCACACAGATGTTGGTGTTGAATGGTTGTACTCACCATTTGAATCTAGTATGCAATACTGTAATTTGATTTTTATTATCATCATTATTATTATTATTATTATTATTATTATTATTATTATCATTATCATAATTATTATTATTGTTATCCATATCATTATTATTATTATCGTTATCATTATTATCATTATTATTATTATTATTATTATTATTATTATTATTATTATTATTATCATTATTATTATTATCATTATCATTATCATTATCATTATTATTATTATTATTAGTTTCTTATGTTTTTTTATACTTTTATAAATTTAACATATAGATGAATGCAAGGGTGGGTGGATGGACTGAAGGAACAAAGGAAAAAAGAAAGGAAGGAAGAAAAGCAAGAAAGGAAGGATATATTATGATTTCATAGATTGATAACTTATTAAGTTTATAGCCACATATATTGATAATTCCTGTTCTTGCTTGCATTGCCAAGTGCAACACATGCTATATTTTAGTATATATTAACATAATTCATATTCATTACATATATCCCATCTTCAAAATCCAACAGAAAGAACATTTTTCAATATCTCCTTACCTAAAGAGAAAAATAATTGGACATGTCTAATGTTTATTTCTCCAATTTGTTTCTTTCCCAGAAAGGAAATCATCATCATGTCATTTTTCTCTCAGCAGAAGAAGAAGAAGAAAGAAAAAAAAAAATCCCACCAAATGTAATATTTTCTTTCTTTCCTCTCAGTAAGGAACACACATGCGTCAAGTGCAATGCCGTATTCCGCCACCCAATGCTACTGGCTTCCCACATCTTACGCCACGGAGAGAGGACTGTCATGTGCCACCGTTGCGGGAGGAAGTTCTTCACGCAGAAACAGCTCAATAGTCATGAGGTGAGAGGGAGCTGAAAGGGAGAGAAAGGTGGAGGCTAGGAAGACAGGATGTGGATTGGGAATGGAGGGAGCGGGACAGGGAGAGGGAGTAAGGGAGAGGGTAAAGGGTGGAGTGTAAGGGATAATATGAGGAGGGAGGGTGATGAGAGATGAAGGGAGATGTGGAAAGAAGAGGGAGAGGGAGAAAGAGAGGTTGAGAGGGGATGAAGGGAGATACAAAAGGAGAGATAAGAGGATGAGGGAAAGGACATTGGGGTGTGGAAGGGGAACAAGAGGAGGAGGGAGAGAGGATGGAAGATAGAGATAGATTGGATGGCATAAGATGAGGGGTGAAGAGGGAGAGAGAGGTAAGAGACAGAGATGGAGAAGCAGACAAGCAGAGTGGTAGAACACGAGAGAAAGAATCAATATTAACCCAACCGCCCTGGATTTATGTTCTGTCCCCTGTATTTTTTTGTGAATGTTGTTACATACAGATGGCTCCACATTTGCTCAGCCGGCAAGGAGTCTATCAGTATCCCTAGTGACCGATTCTGATTTCCCCACTCCTTGAATTGGTGGGAAAATGTGTTTTTCTTTTTAATACAGTTGATATCAATACTGTTATTATTGTTATTGTTGTTATGATTATTAATTTTTTATTAAAATCTCAGTAAAATATTGCAAAATACCCTTTCCAAAAACTCCTTGGTGACTAAACACTTGTAGAGCCATCTGTGTGTAAATACAATGTATTCTTGCCATTTGGGACAATTTAGATTAGAAGCAAAATCCAAAATTCTATTCCTTTTTTGTAAGCAAAGAATATGACATACATGGCCTGTATCAATGTCTGTTCTTATAGGAAAATCCAAGTGTCTAATAAAATCCCTGTCCATTCCCAGAACCTGTTCCACCGAAGAACCCGCAGTTACAGCTGTGAGACTTGTGGGGGACGGTTCTCTACCCTGAAGATTCTGCGCCACCACATCAGGACTCAACCACACCACAAGTATTACTGTCAGGAGTGTGGAGTGTCCTACCCACAGAAACAGCAATACCTGTCACACATCCTGACACATGGCCTCAGGTGCACAATTTGCAACCAGTCATTTGCAACAGCAGTTGCAGCACACCAGCACTACCGCTCCACACACTCAGGCAACACACAGGTTACTGTAACTTCACCTGGGGACTCCAAAACCAATCTCAAAGTGAATGCTGCCTCACCAAAGACTGTACAACCATTAAGCAAAGTCCAGAGTTCACTTATCATCAGGTCCGATGCAAAGAACACCAATAATGAAGAAATAAAGAGGATGCAGCAAGACTTTCCTAGCAATGAATTTCAAATACCTGATGGACATGACACAGAAGAGGCCCTTCCCTCAAGGATAATGCTGATGGATAAATCAGGTGTTAATAAAGTCAAGACAGAGAGGGTTTCTGACATGGAACAGGCTCATAATGTTGTTATTATTCTCTCTGCTGATAAGGATGCCCATGTACTAAAACAGGAAGTGAAGAAGGAAATATGTGAGCCAGCAGAATATATTATCAATGAAGATGAGATTTTGTGATAAGGAAGAGTACAAAAAAAAAAAATAATAATAATAAAATAAATGTAAAATCTCTAACTTTTGAATTAAGGCTATTGGATACAGATTTTATAATATGTACAGGATTTTTAACGTCAGGTTTGCTAAAGTCTTCTTTTACAGCATGTTGATGGAAATGTGCAATATATACTGTATATAACTTGTTCTAAAGGTGTCTGCTTACTTGATCAAAAAATAGAATGGTTCTAATAAACAAACTTCATAAAAATCACCATAGCAAACAGAGAAAATGTTAACCCAATGCTGACAGGCATGGTATGTATGTACATGCCATGCCCACTGTGAGTTTACTTTATTAATTGTTTTTACAAATAGATGGCTACACTTGTACTAAGTCACCAATGAGCAAATTACGAGTACTGCCTGTCTCGCTCATTTACCCTTTTCCTTGATTTATGAATATATTTTACGTTATCTTATTTTACTGTTGCTAATGTAATTTATAGTAATTTAAATATTTATAATAACACCATCGATATTCATAGCACTAGTAAAAATGTGCTTTTCCTGCCAATTCAAGGAAAGGTGAAATTATGTAAGGTCACAAGGTCTTCTAATTGCAGAGACATTTCACTCAAATATAAAAAAAGGGCACAGCATTTTCCCCATTTTTTATTAATTTTCCCCGGCGGCATGTGGTTAATACAGATAGACAGAAGTCAACAAAAGTCTTAAATACTGTGAGTTTAACATAAAATTTTCCAAGGGTTGACTATAGATGTACAAAATATTCAGGAAACCTGTAGATCTTAGAAATATATGTACAAGAGAATGATAGTATTTAAGTATTAGCCTTTTTTCACTGTATGGAAAAAAAAAATTCCAGTTAAAATGGGGACATGTAAAATTGTAACAGAAGAGGTCTCTTATTCTTATGTATTTACCATTTGGTAGACAATGTTAAGCAAATAAAGCATTAAGCAAATAAAGTATCTTATACATCTAACTCCAAACACCTTAAAAATAAGATTACAGACACACAAATATACAATTCTCCAGAAAAAATTGGGTCGTTTTCAAATCCTCCAAAAAAATATTTCCCATAAACAGAAACATGTTTCCTCCTATCTCTCAAAATAATGTTAGAAACCACCCTAAACAACTGAAGTTTTTGACACTACAACAATCACACTCATGAAAGACACTTGTGTACAACCCAGCAAACAACACCATTACTCAACACGTTTCCAATTTGTTTTCCCACATCATGACATTTTGCATGCCTGACAGCCCTTAGCTTCCGATCCTCTAAGCTCATGACACTAACTGCCAACAAAGCTACTGGACATAACAAAATCCCCGTCTTAATCCTGAAGTCCTGCACCTCTTCCTTGTTCCTTATCCTTCAGTCTATCTTCAATCAATGATTCACCGTAAGTATCCTCCCTTTTCAAGACAGGCGGCCGCACAGACCCTACAAATTAGCTCTCCCACATCAGTTGTCTGCAAGATCTTTGACTGCATAATACACAAATATATACTAAACAAACACGCTGATGCTCCCAATAACCTTACAGTCTGGCAACATAGTTTTCAGCCCAAACGTTCAAGTGAGACAATTAAACACAACCCATGATATTTAGACAAATGTCACAGAATCAGTGACAATCAGATATTAAAATATACATGTGCCATAGGAATCATGTAGAGTGTCATGTATACATCAGCGTAAAAACAACAGGGTAGGAAAGTTCCTTTACAAGTCCCGCGCGAGGTATAGGCATACTAGACACGGGTATTAGGGTGTGAATTGTATACCAGCCCCGGGGCCAAGGTGAAAGTTGTTTGTCGCTACAACTACTGACCTCAGCTGAGAAGGGAGCGCAGTGGGCATTCGGGAAGGAGTCCTACTGTACCGCAATACAGAATGGTACGGAGAAGAACGAGTATTACAAAAACTGTGTTTAACCATTGTTTCTGATTATTGCCTCAAACAGTGATCGAGGAGGACCAACATCCTACTAAAATGTAAGTAGAGCTAAGTAATAAATAGTGTAATAAGTATGAGTCTTTGCTACACCTTTCTCATACACTATAGGGATCCCCATACACTGACCCAGGTTACATTCACCATTTATTTGAAGTATCAGAAATCAGGCATTTCCTTAACAGAGCTACACTACCCATTATAGACAGGACATTTGTTCACCTAACAAACTAGAAACCCTGCTCCTAAGAGACTGTGAGTCTGTGAGAATGGATTAAGAGTTATAATATATAAACAGTGTATATGTAACCAATTTCTGTCAACAAAGCCTGATAATAGGAACTATGGGAGTTCATATAATTTCACTTATAAACTTTTGACCCCAGTAATAGTGGCATTGGAGAGAGGTAACCGTGATAAGGAAATAACTTGTGCCTCGAGTAACAGTGGCATTAAACAACTTGATGCCCTACTTCTTATCTTGCAATCCCTCACAGAAGACATGCTCAAATTACAGTATTATGGGATCACAGGATCAATTCTTCACTGGATCACAGCCTCTCTGACATGTAGGTGCCAATACGCCCTGCTCGAAGATGAATCTTCTGTCTCAGTCTGTCTCTTCTGGTGTCCCCCAAGGCCTCGATTCTTCGTCCTTTTTCATTTTTGTACATTCATGACCTTCCACTCTCCACACTATCCCCATACATGCAAGATTCTCCACTTCACTAGAACACATACACCAGTATAGTACATCCATATTCTACACAAAATGACATCCTCAACATTCTATAGAGACCTGGTACACCACAAACATAACTTCAACTTTAATACACAAATCAACTCTATCACAAAGCTAGGGTTCCTGAGGAGAAACCTACAAAATTGTACAACAGATATTAAAGGCATAGATTAGAACACGTGAGCACAGCCCACA